GGCCTGGCCCAGGTCCAGGCTGTAAAGTTGAGTCTCCTTCTTTCAAGCTCCCTAGATTCGAGCCACCCATAGGCCTTGGACCCTGAAGCACCTTGCAGCCTATTGGCCTCTTTTTGTGGGCTGGGAAGCCCCTCCCCTGCCCTGGACAGAAAGTCTTTTATCTGCCGGATTGTGATTGCTTGTTTGATAGTTGGAAATGCGTATTGTCCTAAAAGCCTTATACATGTACCCATGGCTCTAAGTATCATCACCCAAATAAAGCAAACATACACTGCTTGGGAAAACTTACAGACTTTCAGGACTTTGACAAATAAGCAGTCAAGAAACACAAGTAAAGTTGACGAGGCAGAGAGTAGGGCCTCAGAAGCCATACTTATGCCCAGTCTTCACTGGACGTGGTCAGAAGATCTGTTACTTGTGTGACTGTTTAGTCCATTCAAACTGTTGGGGTTTGTAGGATATGGGGCCGGATTGATCAGATTCGGCAATATCAGGAGATAGTAAAGCACAATCAGTTTTACTGAAATTTTACAAAAATGAGTGATTGAAATCTATCGTTCAGCTATTTAAGCTATATTATGCAGCACATTTGATTACTTTTTTTTTTTTTTAGAATCATATAGTAGACACGGTAAAAGAATATATCAAGAACTGCTTCACCCACAACTGTGCCTCTAGGAAACTGGGCTGAGGGTGTGAAAAGGAAAGATCAGATGAGGAAACGTGCAGAGATCCTCAGACACCACTGCTGCCGCCATTGTTGTTAACGGCAACAACCAGTCTTGCCCATGGCTGAGGTTCTAGGTACACAGCAGCTCATAGGACCAGCCCTGATATCAGCCATTTCATTATCCATTTAGAAAAGAAAAGTGGCCATAAATAAAACACTGCCTCAAGGCCTAGGTGCCAAATGAGTGGCGTAGTAAATAATTGGGATAATTCAGGAGAGGGAGTGGGGTCTGAGGGTCTGACCACTGAAGATGATTTTATTCAGTCTTGGTATTTTCCCCCTTGCTTTGTACTCTTTGAAGGACCTCCCCCCGTTTCCCTCACCTTTCAGCCTCAGTCCCTGTCAACTGTCACTCTGTTCTCTGGTTCTGTGAGTTTAGCTGTTTTAGATTCTATGTAGAAGTGAGATAGTACAATATTTTTCTTTCTGACTTATTTCATTTAGCATAATGCCCTCAAGGTCCATCCATGTTGTCCCAAATGGCAAGCTTTCCTTCTTTCTCATGGCTGAATAATTTTCCATCACATATATATGCAGATCCCATACATATATGGGAATGCAGATACCTCCTTGATACCCTGATCTCATTTCCTGTGGATATATACCCAGAAGTGGGATTGCTGGAGCAGATGGTGGTTCTATTTTTAATTCTGAGGACCCTCCATACTGTTTTCCATAGTAGCCGTAGCTATTCACATTCCCAGCAGTGCATGTGGGTTCTCTTTTTCCCACATCCTCACCAACAGTTATTACCTCTTATCTTTTTGGTAATGACCATTCTAACAGGTGTGAGGTGATACCTGATTGTAGCCTTGACTTGCATTTCCCTGATGATGAGTGATATACAGCGTCCTTTCATGTGTCTGTTAGCCATTTGTATGTCTTCTTTAGAAAAATGTCTATTCAGGGGTGCCTGGGTGGCTTAGTCGGTTAAGCATCCGACTTTCACTTAGGTCATGATCTCGCGGTTCGTGGGTTCGAGGCCCGCGTCGGGCTCTGTGCTGACTGCCAGCTCAGAGCCTGGAGCCTGTTTCAGTCTGTGACTCCCTCTTTCTCTGACCCTCCCCTGCTCATGCTGTCTCTCTCTCTCTCTCTCCTAGAAATAAATAAAAAGCATTTAAAAAAAAAAGAAAAGAAAAATGTCTATTCAGGTCCTCTGCCCATTTTTTAAGCCAGACTGCTTGTTTTTTGCTATTGAGTTGTATGATTTCTTTATATATTCTGGATATTAACCCCTTATCAGCTAGATGGTCTGCATATATTCATTCCATATATTGCTGTTCATTTCACTAATTGCTGCTTCTTTAAAGCAGAAGCTTTTTGGTTTGATGTAGCCCCACTTACTGGATTTTTGCCTTTATTGCTTTGCTTTTGATATCATATCCAAAAGAATAGTTGCCAAGAGCAATGTCATGGAGCTTTTTCCTTTTTTTTTTTTTTCTTTTCTGTCTTCCTAGTTTTATGGTCTCAGGTCTTACGTGTAAATCTATAGTTTATTTCAAATTAGTTTTTGTGAGGGGCGCCTGGGTGGCTTAGTCGGTTAAGCGTCCGACTTTCGCTTAGGTCATGATCTCGCGGTTCGTGGGTTTGAGCCCCGCGTCGGGCTCTGTGCTGACTGCCAGCTCAGAGCCTGGAGCCTGTTTCAGTCTGTGACTCCCTCTCTCTCTGACCCTCCCCTGCTCACGCTCTCTCTCTCTCTCCTAGAAATAAATAAAACATTGAAAAATTAAAAAAAAAAAAACAAATTAGTTTTTGTGAGCGTTGTAAGATAAGGATCCGATTTCACTCTAGGGCATGTTCCTATCCAGTTCCCCAAACACCATTATTGAAGAGACTTTCTTATCTTCATTGACTATTTTTGGTTCCCTTGTCAAGTACTAGTTGACTATATATGTAAAGGTTTATTGCTTTCTATTCTGTTCCACTAATCATTGTGTCTAAAACCAGTACCGCAGTTTTGATTTCTGTAGCTTTGTAATATAACTTGTGATCAGGGAGTGTGATGCTCCCGGCTTTGTTCTTTCTCAGCTAATTGCTTTAGCTATTCAGGGTCTTTTGTGGTTCCATATGAATTTTAGCACTGTTTTTGCTGTTTCAATGAAAAATGCCATTGGAATTTTGATAAGGATTGCATTGACTCTATACATTGCCTTGGGTAGTATGGACATCTTAACAATATTAATTCTTCCAATTCACGAAAACTGGATAGTTTTCTGTTTGTGTCTTCTTCAATTTCTTTGATCAGTCTTACACTTTTCAGTGTACAGATCTTCACCTCTTTGGTTAAATTTATTCCTAATTATTTGTTTTGATGCCATGGTAAATGAGATTATTTTATTTATTTATTTTACAGGTATTTCATTGTTCACATATAGAAATGCAACTGATTTCTGTGTATTGATTTTGTATCCTACAACTTTACCGACTTCGTTTATTTAGTCTAACAGTTTTGGGGTGGGGTCTTTAGGATTCTCTGTCTATAAGAGCGTGTCCAATCTAGAGACAATTTTACTTCTTTATTTTTGATTTGGAACGAATGAAAAAACATCTTTGGCAAGGAGCATGACCCTCAGGGAGACTTTCCACTATACCTTTCCCCCCTGCTCATCAAATCTAGATAGTGTGGCCTCAGAAGAGACTTCTGTCCTCTGGCAGCCCCTTCTTCAGTACCCTCTTCCCCTTTGGTTTCCCAACAGAGCCCTAAGGCCCTTTATCTTCTTGGGCCATTTCTGTGGACTGAACTTTTGTGTTCCTCCAAAATTCATATATTAAAACTTAATCCCCAATGTGTTGGTATTTGGAGGTAGAGCCTTTGGGAGGAGATTAGGTCATAGGGCAGAGTCCCCATGAATGGGATTAGTGCCCTTATCAAATTGACCCTAGAGAACTCCCTCACCCCTTCTACCATGTGAGAACGCAGTGAAAAGAGAGCCATCTATGAACCAGGAAGTAGGCCAGATACCAAATCTGCTGGGGCCTTGATCCTGGATTCCCATCTTCTAGTACTGTCAGAAATCATTTTTTTTTGTTTACCCCATCAGTCTATGGTATTTTTGTTATAGTAACCCAAACACATTCAGACAGCCATCCGCCAATGAGCCCATTATTACAGTATATGAGTATATGCCTACATTACAGTATATGAGGCTCTAACTTTAATAGAAGGTTTATGAGCAAACTCACTCCTTGAGTGGAATAAACCCACCTTCTTTCCACTCAGAGATCTCCAGCAGCCCCTTCTTTAGATGCTTGGAAAGGTCTTTACCAACCTCCGATTATGCCTGGGCAGGAAGCCTGGGAGACCCTGGTAGAGTCTTAGCCATAAGCTAGCACCAAAAGCTTGTTGTTCAGGGCAAGCAGCTGCCCTCAGTGGATCTGAAAAAAATTACACTTAAAAAAACAAAAGTTCCCTTTCCCCAACCACCCGTCCCCACCTCAGTTGTCTTCAGATGGACACTAAGAAGGATGAGGACCGTTGGCTAAGAATTTATACAGCCATTGCTGGAGCATTTTCTCCAGACTTTGGTATTCTACCTTCTGCCCATGTAAGATTTCAGAGCACTTAAGAGCAAAACCAGCCCAGGTGGAGTGTCCCGGTCGTCTCCATGCAGTGAATAAAAACTGACTACTGGCCGCTCCTACTTTCATGGAAGTTCACTGAGCAGGACATCTGAGGACTCTGGAAGGAGGCTGGCGTGGATGCCTCTGGGATCTCACCCCACTGTCTCCTCCTCACCATGCCCACCCCAAGTTAGAGAAGTGATTCCTCTGTCAGACCATCCAGTCGAGCAGTTCAAAGGTCACAACACAAACACAATGACCCACGCATCTGTTTCCAGCTACAGGTTTATTTCCATGACAAAACTGATTTGTAGGTCACAGGACCATCACAGACACCACTCACCACTCAGAAAGCCCACAAGGAGAGCACAGGTGGATGGACTCAGCCTCCCCTGTACCCCCCCCCCACCCGCCCCAGAGTCTGAGGGAGGCCAGGCAGGAGCAGATCCAGCAGGTAGCTAGCTGACTCTCTGAGGGGATAGGAAAGTCCGGGGTGGGGTGGGGATAAACAGACACTGCAAGGGGCTCTCAGTGAGACTGGAGAACACCACGCCCTTGGAAAGAAGGCCTTAGGGCCCTCCCCCCCGCCCTAGAATACCACACCATTTGTTAGAAAGCTTGCCCGTGTGTCCTCAACAGCAAAGCACAGATACAGATTTCCCAGCAGGAGCTCAGAAATCTAAGAGCCAAGGACACAGCATTCTGGGGCTTATGGGTTGATTTTCAGCCCAAGACACAATGCGAGCTCAGACTTCTGAATCTTTCCGTCCTTGTTCACATCACAGTGGCGCAAAAGAATCTCCCGGAACTTATCGAGGTCCACTCCGCTGATGCTGGGCTGAGGACAGAAAAGGGAGCATGTCAGGAGACCAGCCAGTGGTGGCCCCAACCTTGAGTGCCACCCCCTCTCCACCCCGCGCTCACTCCCTCAGGGGACAGCCTGCCTCCTGGGAGAGGCTCCGTGGAGACAGGCGGTGGGGACGGTCCCACCTCCTGGTCCACCACGTGTTGTCAGGGGTCCGGCCAGCACCTTTACCTCCCAGTACGGCTATTCGGGCAGGAGAACCAGCCCCACATTGCTTCTCTGCGGCTCTAGGGGAAGTCTGTCCTTTTAGGCCATGATAAAGACATTTTGCCTTGGAGCGGATGATTGCCATCACAGACTCCGTCTTGGTACACGGATGAGAGAAGACACATTTCGCTGTCTCCCCATGGGAGTATTTTGGACCTCTTATTTTAGAAAGGGTTGTAAGGAACGAAATACTGACTAAAACATGATGTCGCCGAGCTGCGGACGTAGGGCTTATTACAAGGGGTATTTTAAACTGTGACACGCATCAGACAGGAAAGTAATTTCAAACTCAAAAGGTCTGCATGGAGGGCCTGGGTGGCTCAGTCGGCTGAGCGTCCGACTTTGGCTCAGGCCAGGAGCTCACGGTTCATGAGTTCGAGCCCTGCATCGGGCTCACCTCTGTCAGCGCAGAGCCTGCTTCAGAGCCTCTATTCCCCTTTCTCTCTCTCACTCCGCTGCTCATGCTCTCTCTCTCCTCTGCTCATGCTCTCTCTCTCAAAAATAAAAAAATAAAATAAAATAAATTTTAAAAAAAGGTCAGCAAAAGTGAGCAATGCTTGAACTGAGTGACTTTCCACAGGCCATTTAATTTAACCCTCATGATCACCTTGGGAGGTAAATGAAGGGAAGTTTCTTTCGATCTTTTGAGTTATGTTTTTCTTTTTTTTGTTTTTTGCTTTTCTTTCTTTCTTTCTTTCTTTCTTTCTTTCTTTCTTTCTTTCTTTCTTTCTTTCTTCCTTCCTTCCTTCCTTCCTTCCTTCCTTCCTTCCTTCCTTTCTTTCGAGAGAGAGAGAGAGAGAAAGAGAGAGAGAAAGCAATCCCAAGCAGGTTTAGTGTGGAGCTCTGTGCTCCTTGGGACTTGATCTCGAGACTGTGTGATCATGACCTGAGTTGAAATTGAGTCCAACACTTAACCAACTGAGCCACCCAGCTGCCCCTACTATCAACTTTTAATTCACAGATGAGAAAACTAAAGCACAGAGAGGTTTTTTAATCTTCCCGCTGTCACAGCTGGTACATGTCAAAACCAGATCCACACTGAGGCGTGTGGGTCCTGGGCTCCTGTCTTTACCAGTGCGCCCTACCACAGCCTCCATGTAAAACGCGTGTTTTATATCTTACCCCCCTCATGAGAAAGTGTGTGAGTGGATCTGAAGGGTTTGGCTGAATAGTGCTTCTCTGTCCCCCTTGAGTCTTGGGCCCTACGGGAACCCTGGGGGCTGGATGTGTGCCTGCCCGTGGTAAGTGCTGCATGCGTGCTTGACTGTCTGCAAACGCGGTCTTCCTGTCTCCGCCATACGCCCTCCCTTTCCTGAACGCGCTGTCTGTCCTGAAACAGTGAAAGCTAAGGCCTGAACCCAGTCATTGCCAGCCCGTCCCCAGTCTCCACGCTGGAGTCAGCACCCGGGCATGGCCCGGCCTGCACCCCCGAGACCCTAATTGGATGACAGCTTTGATGGTGGCAGGCATTCTTGATTGGAAACCGCTTATGACAGCGCTTGGATCAGAATATTTAATTAGCCAGCACCTTGCTCTCCAACCGTGCAAAGTTGTACCGTGCTCTCTGCTGTTTATTGGCCATGCTGCTGTCCGAGAGCACTGAGGCGGCGGGTAGAGGCTGAGGTGTCACCGCCTGAGACCTCGGCCAGGCCCCTGCCAGCAAGGCTCGGCTCGTCTGAGAGAGATCAGGGTAACAAAGGGCACCCCAGCACCCGCCCTGTCCCACGTCTCTTCCAGTTATCACCCGCCCCTCCGTGTGTTATGATGCAAAGGAGGGACTGGTTGGTGTTTCTTCAGTGTCGTTTTGCAGGCAGATGGAAGTACCCCCTCGGACAGCAGGAGTCCTTAGAGGGAGGCAATCACAGGGGGTAACAGGGGCCACGCTGTTGAGGGCAGGAGGCACAAAGCACGTCACCGGGTCCCACAGCCCCAACACTGGCTGTTTGCGATTATACTGCTTCCCCTTGCCTCCCGTTGTCTTTTCTTAAAAGTTGTCTGTCACCCAGGGGATGGCAGCACGTTAAGTCACTAAACTGTTTATCAGTGGAGCTCAACCCAGGCAGAATATACCTAGAAACAAAGTCCGTTAACAGGAAGTCTACTCAAATGCAGAGATCATGCTTCTGTCTTTTCTCCACTTTCAGATTTCAGATTTCTCTACATATCATTTTTATGATTTAAAAAATTTAAAAAAATGAGAACGTGTGTGCTAAGGGCTAGTAGCTCTTTGGAGGAGCATATAGTACATTCAATCCCTTCGGGTAAGTATTGTCCCCTCTTGCTAATCAACTTGTCAACAACAGAGAAAAGCAGAAGCAGTGTCTAGCAGGATAAAAATGAACTTTTGGGAGCCCGGGGCAGGACCTCTCCTCCCTTCCAGGCAGAACTCCTGGTCACCTCTGGCACCTCCATACGTGTGGCTTCTAACATTCCTGTTCACACTTCTACTCCTTGGTATGCGCTGAGCCCCTTGAATGTCTTGCCTTTCGGCTTTCTAGTTTAAGCTATAGATTCTCCTGCTGATTTCCACGTGGTGCCGAGGGACCTACAGACTCTTTAGAAATCTTGTGCAGGAATTATTTGGTCATATCCCCCAGGACCTTGCCATCTCATCATACTGAAAGAAGACAGCCTTGGGCACCATTTTCCAGAGATCAGGGCAAGGGATGTTCTGGTAACCAGATAGTCTTGTTAATATAAATTCAATATATGTATCATCCATGGTTGAAAGAAAACAATAATGAAAGACTATAAAATAAGCTCACTTCAGGGTCATTATTGCAAACATGAATGATCCTGACCTGGACGCTACACTCAGAAACTGAGCCATGGCATGCTCTGGTAGCTGCTTTTGAAACAAATTCCAGATACTATTTGCTTACTTGTCCTGTGGTCTTTTCTGAGAAATTTCAGATTTATCCAAAGATTCTCCCGTGACAACATCCTTCAAATTATACGGTAAATAGTTTTTAAGCAACGCAGAAGACTGGGAAAGACCCAATACATGTATGTACCTCAGTTATAGGGCTTCGGAGGAGAACTTTAACAATTAACTACTGGGGCGCCTGGGTGGCTTAGTCGGTTAAGCGTCCGACTTTCGCTTAGGTCATGATCTCGCGGTTCGTGGGTTCAAGCCCCGCGTCGGGCTCTGTGCTGACTGCCAGCTCAGAGCCTGGAGCCTATTTCAGAGTCTGTGACTCCCTCTCTCTCTGACCCTCCCCTGCTCACGCTGTCTCTCTCTCTCTCTCCTAGAAATAAATAAAACATTAAAAAAAATTAAAAAAACAAAACAAAACAATTAACTACTTTGTACCCCCTTTATAGCTCAACAGATCAGCCCTTGTCAACTACTTTTGTACTACTGACCATGGTCTCACACAGTCCTTGAAAACCCCCTCTCTGAAATTGGCTGGTACTTATGTTAAGAGGAACCATTCTGTTAGGCCTGAAACAGAGGGTCAAGGACAAGCATGATGGGGACCCATGGAGGTGTCCCATGGAGGTGATTCAAATCTATCAACGAGTGAGGCAAAGGCATGTTTTGGGATGGTCTAGGATTTTCTCCTTCTCTTTGATTTTCTCTGGGAAAATGTCTCTTCTACTCTGTTGCTGGGTTAGGTTTTACTTCTGGGTCTCCCAGTAACCTTTGGAAGCCATTGCCAAACTCCGTGACAACTGCAAGGGTCTGTAGGCATGCAAAGCCCTGAACTGTGCCCCTCGGTGGTCTGTGGCCTTGGCTCCACTGTGCTCAGGAGGCCATGGTGCTGAGAAGCAGGCTCACCACCCTGCGCATCTATCAAAACCAAATAAAAACCGCAGTTTGGCAAAGCCTACTGCCGTGCAACTTTAATGTCCCATAGAGAATTGCTCAGTTTCTATTACAGGAATCATTTTGGCATTAAAGAGGTAGTAAGTACAGTGGGACTTTTCTTTAGTAATCAATGTAAAAGACACTACCACACCAACACCCACGCACCATTTGGTTGTACAGGTGCCCGTGGAATTTCCCAGCCCATGACGGGAACGCGGAAGAGGCAAGACTTAGGAGGCCAATAATACACCTCTGTCATCCTGACTAGAGGGCAGAAAAAAATCTCCTCCATGCCTGCTCACTCACAGTATGTGGACTTCCTGGGGGTTTATGCAAAAATTGATAAATTTATAGGAAATCTTCTGCTGCAAAACTCCATAGTTTTAATCAGGTTTTTAAACAGGTCTGGGATTCCAAAACCAGTTAACAGTTGCTACTCTAATTTGTTGCCATCTGGACCAATTGGGACAGACTCACTGTGTCCTGTATTAACCTGAAAAAATCTCTAAGGATATGAAAATACAAAATTCAGTGGGTACAGGGTGATGTAGAAAAGGAAAAGTTGCAAAGTATATGTTTAACTAGACCAGGCAGCCAGTCAGTACAAGTCACTGGGATCTCAAAGGAGATTGCTTGCTTTAAACAGTCTACACTACATAAAACAGTTTTGTGCTGTAGATTATAATCTAAATCCTATCAGTCTGAACCACCACAATGTCTTGATAGACAGGTAGCCAAAATTTTAGGCTAAGCATTAGAACAGCCCCTGGGGGGAGGGCGGAGGACAGGAGGGCAGGAATGAGGGGTGGGGGGGAGGAATCCTTAATATGGGATTTATTTCGTGAAATTAAAAGGTTTTAGGTATTCTAATAACCAAATCTGGGGGGAAAGGCCCTTCTGCAACCAAAACTAAAGCTGTAATATACACAGTGGCACTATACACCCATAGTAAAATAAACAGCTTTTCAATGATGGTAACAAGAAGTTTCTATGAGAGTTTCACTTAATTGAAACTACAAATGATCTTAAGAGAGAAAGAGAGACTTACCAGGTCTCACGGAAGCTCAAAGTTTGTTAAATAGACTATGCCCCTAGATCTTCTCCCTAGCATTAATCATCAGCCTTACTGATTCTCAAAAATAAACAGTGGAATCCATCAGAATGGCAACCCCAACCCACAATGGATCCCTATAGCCTCGTGAAATCACCTTGACCAGCTCCATCATGTCTTTGACAAACCCATCCACTTCTGGCCCTTCCAGAGCTCCAGTTTTACTCTGAAAGATAAAAGACCCAATTAATCCAATATCATTTTGAGTCAAAAAGCTAAAGAATAAGTTAGGCGAATTGTCCAAATCAGTATTCTTTTGTGACTGCAAATAGGTTCAGAAATGGCACATTCCAGTTTGGTTCTTTGTGCAGGATGTGAATATTCCATAGAAATTAAAAGAATTAATTGTAGGGGCACCTGGGTGGCTCTGTCAGTTAAGTGTCTGCCACTTGATTCTGGCTCAGGTCACAATCTCATGGTTGTGAGTTCAAGTCCCCCCATCAGGTGCTCAGGATTTTCTCTCTCCCTCTCTCTCCTCCCCCACCTTCCCCCCACTTGTATTCTCTCTCTCTTTCTCTTCCTCTCAAATAAATGATGAATGGATAAAGAAGATTTGGTTTATATATACAGTGGAATACTACTTGGCAATAAAAAAGAATGAAATCCTGCCTTTGCAATGATGTGGATGGAGCTAGAATGTATTATGCTGAGTGAAATAAGTCAGTCAGAGAAAGACAGATATCATATGTTTTCACTCATATGTGGATCTTGAGAAACATAACAGAAGACCATGGGGGAGAGGAAGGGAGAAAAATAGTTACAAGCAGAAAGGGAGGGAGGCAAACCATAAGAGACTCTTAAATATAGAGAACTGAGGGTTGATGGGGAGGGGGGAAGAGGGGAAAGTGGGTGATGGGCACCGAAAAGTACACTTGTTGGGATGACCACTGGATGTGGTGTGCAAGTAATGAACCACGGGAATCTACCCCAAAAACCAAGAGCACACTTTACACACTGTATGTTAGCTAATTTGACAATAAATTATCTTTTTAAAAATAATAAGTAAATAAGTAGACTTAAAAAAGAATTAATTATAAATAAGTGTCTCCTTGTAAACAAATGAGAAGCAGTAGTTTTAAGTCCTTGGCTCTTGCAAATAGCATTAACATGATATATACTGACTTCATTTGCTTCCCAAATATCAGGCTTCAGTTCAGACTAAATTTTCACATCATATCTGTCCTGATAGGCTGACATTTTTTGATTTTGCTTTATAATTTAGCAAGGACTTGATGATTATTAAAATATGTTTTATTTGTTTGTTTGTTTGTTTATTTATTTATAAACTTATTTTAGAGACAGAGCATGTTAGTAGGGGAGCAGGGCAGAGGAAGAGAGAGAATCTCAAGCAGGCTTCATGCTCAGTGTGGAGCTCAACGTTGGGCTCAGTCTTACAGCCTTGAGGTCATGACCTGAGCCAAGATCATGACCCGAGCCAAAATCAAGAGTCAGTTGCTCAATTGAGCAAGCCACCCAGGCACCCCTAAAATATATTTTTTAAATCAAGAAGAACTAAATTAAAATTATTATTTGGTCTGTACAAAAACTCCTTATTTTTTCTCCTCATTAAATATAAAAATGTCTATAAAATAAAATACAAATTAAAATATTTCCATTTCTTCTCTAAAGTCCCAGTTATGACAACTCATCTGTTCTTTCCAAGTTTTCTTCACCTTGAACCTTTAACATATCATTTAAAAAATCAATTCCCTTAGTGTATTTACCAAATACAAACATAATACTAGCCAGGCACCCTTCTAAGAGCTTCACAAACATGAAATCACTGAATTCTCGTAACAACCCGTGGAGGAGGCATTATTATTATCGTCATCACCCTAACTTTACAGAAGAGTGAAACGAGCCACAGGGGGGTTAAGGAAACTATCCAGGGTCACATGGCTAACAAACCATGATTCACACCCAGCTGACCAGTCATGGAGACTATACCCTTAAACACTTTGCTGCCCTGCCCTCTAGGAGATGCTCCTTTCTGCTCAGAATGTGACATACAGGTGGCCAGTCTGCTTAGTTTCAAGATGGCATCTCTTTTGACTTTGTCTAACTTTCTCATGTCTCTTCCGTCTTCTCTTCATTTCTTGTCCTCAAGAAATGCAATCTCTTTGTCATACTTTGTGCTATAGAATTATTATTTTTTCCTCTCTAAAGAAGGACCTTGTAATCAGTTGTACAAGACAAGTAGCTTTCATGTCCACCAGGGCTTGCTTTGCCTGTATTTCTTCGGGTTAGATATGGTTTCTAACTTGATTGTTTGCTTGTTGTTCTCAAGCATGCTGTTCTAGATGGAGAGCAAGAAGGAGAAACCTTCTCCCACTTTGGATCCAAAGAGGAAAAAAAATGTGATTTTATTCTCTTCCTGACCATAAATACTCCTTTGTCCTCTTTCATGTAGTTTTCAGAAGTTTACATAGAGAAGCTGAGGGAGTGACATACATGAGGGATGGCTATTCATCATATACGTTCGGGTCTGAGGGCAGGATGGATAGGACGACCCCACACGGGGGCCAGACAAGCTTGCTCCCTAAAAGTGGCCAGCACAACACAACGACGCACACTTACAACATCATAGTGGGCAAAGATTTTCTCAAAGTCCCTCTTTCTTTCTTCAGTGGAACAAGCCTGTGGGTGGGAAGAGCAGAATGTCAGTCTGGCAATGGGAAGCTTCCATTGTACAATTCTTCCAGGGGCATAGACAGCTTTTATACACTTTGAGTCAATGACCCTTGATTTCAACAGTAAGTCCTTTTGGTCTCTAGATAAATTAAAGTAAGATGCAAACAGGCCTTCTTTTCTTCCCTCCCTCTCAAATTTATGGAGAGACATGAATGACACGAGCCCATGAGAAATGTCATGACTTACATCCATTTTAAATTGGAGAAGGAAGTTTTCCTGAAGAGCCAGGATCCTAAATGGAAAAGAAAAAAAAAAGAAATTAATCCACTTGATGATGTGTCAGTTCTCAGTTACAAGCAATTCCATAACTCTGGGATGAGGAAAGAGCAGGCGATTTCCAGATTATTCTGCAGAATAGGGTAGGTGCTTGAAAAATAGGAATTTATACATTATAAAAACAAATTAAAAAATCAGCGGTGCCTGGGTGGCTCAGTTAGTTAAGCGTCCAACTTCGGCTCAGGTCATGATCTCACGGTTCGTGGGTTCAAGCCTGCATCGGGCTCTGTGCTAACAGCTAGCTCAGAGCCTGGAGCCTGCTTCAGATTCTGCGTCTCCCTCTCTCTCTGACCCTCCCTTGTTCATGCTGTCTCTCTCTCAGAAATAAATAAAAAATGTTAAAAATAAAATTTTTTAAAATAATAATAAAAAAATAAAAAATTCATTGGGAGGGACTTTCGCCATAGAGAGATTGTTAAAAAGGCATCTTGGTGGAAAATGGCAGAGTGAGGGCTTATGAAAACTCCTCCATTACAGCAATGAGAAAACTGCCCATCCCCCCAAAAAACTCAAAATGACTTTTTCACAATTCTAGAAATTAAAGTCTTGTAGAAATCTGATGAGTGCTTATTTTGGAAAAATGACTAAATCTTGGTAAGAACAGTGGATTTTGTGCATTTTCACTTCCTTTATCCCTCCGTCCTCCTCACCTCCATTGTACCCTTGAAAACGAAGAGCCCACAGGCCCCGGGAGAATGAGCCTTCTAGCAGCAGCTAGTGAGCAGAACAGAGTTGGAGCTCTTTCGAAGCCGAGGGTCCAGAGAATTGCCATTCTGTGACTTCTTGGGTGTTCTCTAAAAGACCCCATTTGCAAGATGCACTTATTTGACCTGATTTTGAACTCACCCAGTGGGAAAGCTTTTTGCCTGGGAGCTTTGTTCAAAACCAATGAAGAGCAACTGTTGGAGACCACAGCTGACCACAGTGGTAGATACATAAGAGCTGGGGTCAACAACAGGCTAACTAAAAAGATTAAAAAGGAAAAGCTGAAGGAATGAGATTCCATAGGGGCTTTTACAAGTCCCAACCTATTTCTGGGAATCTAGCAAGTTACACACATGCCTGGGGCCACATCCACGCCCAAGACTGTGTATCTGCGCAAAAGGAGAAGGCCCTCAGCCCTCCCCTGCGGCTTATAGTCAGGCTCTATGCAAGCAGGAAGTTAAGGCTAAGGCAGAGTTGTAAACTGCCTGGTTGGGTGTAGATGTGCCCCAACACGTACACAGGGACCCTCAAACAACATTGGGAGACATAAGGAATCTCTGTGCAATCATGATCATAAGCAAGCAGAGACTTAAGTGTCCACACATAACAAAGATACAGATTTTACAGGATTAGTTCGAGAAAGTCACTAGACAAAAAAGACAACCATTCACAACACTAAATGTGACCCATAAGAAATACTAAAGAGAATTCTTCAAGCTGAAATGAAGACGCCAGACAGTCGCTTAAATCCACACAAAGGGAGAAAGACCTCAGCCAGACACGAAAGCCCACATATTGTATGTTTCCATTTATATGAAATGCTCAGAATGAGCAAATCCACAGAAACGAAGTAGATGAGTGGTTACCAGGGGTTGACAGGCGAGGGAAGGAGATTGTGATTCCTGATGGGTCTGGGGTATTTTTCTGGATTTATGCTGCATTAAATCATGCATTCATAGTACAGAGAAAGGTAGAAAAAAAATATCTTGCAACAATTTGGAAAATATTGCTCTTCTGGATGCTCAGGGTAGAGAGAATTAATGTGAGCCAAATAGAGGGTAGAATATTCCGGGACTCTTTAAGGAATCCTGTTCTTATCTGTCGGTTGGCACCAAGCAGCCTAAGTGATATTGCCGGTCAGAGGACATCAACTTGAGAAGTGCTCACATGTGGAGCAACAGGGCTGCCTTCCAGAGTTGGGAGAAGAGACCCGTGTATAAGTGTTTTAAGGCCTTTTAGACATTCAATTCGTTTCCTATTGCTGCTGTAACAAATTAGCACAATTTTAGTGGCTTCCACAGCATACATTTGTACCTTCCATACTAGAAATGAGAGTCTGAGATGGATTTCACTGGGCACCACCTTCAGCAGGTGCCCTTGGAGCTGCTTTCTTCTGGAGGCTCTACAGAAGAGTCAGTTTCCTTCCTTTTTTATCTTCTAGAAACTGTTTGCATTCTTTGGTTCATAGCCCCTTTCTCCACCTCAAATCCTTCAAAGCCTTCAAAGCCCATCCCTCTGCTTCCTTGTTCCACATTTAAAGGATCCTTGTTATTACATTGGGCCCACGTGGGTAATCCAGAATAACATCCCTAAGGTCTGTTAATCAGCAACTTAAATTCTATCTGCAGCCATAATTCACCCTTGCCACATAACATAAAATATTCGCTGGGTCTGGTAATTCAGACACAGACATCTATATTTGGCCTACCCCACTTGTCACTGTCAAATTCCATATCAAATTGGTTTTGAAATAATGCAGGAACAGTTTCGTTGCTTTGCATCTGTGTTCAATACTTCTTCAATTCTTCCTTCAGTCGACAACTACTCATCGAATCCTCCTCTATACCAAGCACTGTGGCATGAGAGAAGCCATTCAAGGGATGAAGGTGTGCTTCCTGACTTCTGGGTAGGACCATAGTAGAGGATGTTTGGCTCACTGCACGGGGGGGCTTTGGTTATGATCGTGATAGAGGGGATGTAAACTCCATAGTTGGAGGTCAGGGATGCTAGATGTCCTGCATTGCATGGAAAATTCCACAAAATGGTGAATCATCCCATATCTCACCTGACTCTGGAATGTCCAGGAGGGAATTCATGTGTCTACAAGTCCTGCTTATAATTATATTTGAACCTAGAACACAATTACTATTTACATGAAAATCCAGACTATTTTTCTCAAGGTATACGTAATTTGCTAATTTGTGTAAATTATCCAGATAGCATTCTGAGTCACATAAATTGCGGAATGACTATACTTTGTTTCACTTGGGACACTCTCAAGACGTATTTATTATTTATATAGTTATATCAAGAGCAGCTGAATTCCTGACACAGGAGTTGCCAACAGGTCATACCTGTGTCCGTCAGTGTCTGAACTGACATATTTGTGCTATTTCTACACCAAGCTATAAGCAACGACCACTCTGTTATGCTTGCCCTGTGGTTTTATCTACCCACCTACACTCTGAAATATACTTTACTTTATTATAAAGTGTTTTACCTTATTTCCTTTTATGTGTTATAGTTTATGCATTATATTGTCTTAGCATTTCGTGCAGAGGTAGGTTATATCTTCTGTGGATTTTATTTCAGGAGTAAACAGTATCATAATCAATAGGGTAGAGAGCAGCTTACAGTAGTGACTCAGTCAGCCTCCAGAGGGTGCTCAGGGTTCCTCGACTCGCTACCTTTAAGAAATGCATTGAGTCAAGTGGGTGGGTGGGTGCTTTTGGGGAGGGGAGCAATGAAATTAAAAGCTATTGTTTTCACCCAGATTGCCATGTTTTGGGTCTTCCTGATAGGATTGGCTCTCACACACAGCTCTCACAGTAGCTAGTCTGACCTCCACTTGAGAGGAATCCTCGCCTCCCTTGGCCAAAATAGCTTCAAGGACTAAGGGGGGACCAGGGGATAGAGCCAAGGCTGCAGGGCTGGGACCCCTCCGTCCTCAGCCTTTGGGAGAAGCTCTGGTCTGGCTGGTCTCTCCATGCCTCTTCTCCATCAGAGTGGTCAAAATTAGGATGGAGAGCCTAGGGAAAGGAGCTAAGGAGAACACAAAGGTTGCCTCACAGCTTCTACAAGGCCCAGAATAGAAGACCATATAGAGTGTTGGGCTCAGTGTCCTGGTCATCACTAAGGAGAGACCCATCCTGGTGTGGCCCCTTTCACAGATCCCCTTCAAGAATTAGCAGATGGACTTGCCAAGAGAGGAGGCAGCTGGTACAGGGTTTAGTGATTCTGAATTCAAGTTAATATCTGCTTGTGACCTTGCCAAGTTAACTCTGTCATTGAAAATCACCCTCAGCCCTTGGACTTCCTCTCTCCCAGCCATATATCCTACTGTCTTGCAGCCTATAACTGCTAACCTTTATCCTTGTCCAGTCTACAACTACATCCACCCCATCCTCAGGTACCTGGTGTCATAGCTGCTCCCCCATCTGGGTTTATCTATGTATTCTGGATCCAACGATTTCAACCCCGTCCATCTATTCACAATTTTTTTTCACTCTGTGTACAACCATGGGTTGTTTTGAGGTCAGCTAGCCTTGAGAAAACATGCTGACATGCCCATCATGTCACAACACTGGACTTACAGCAATTTGCAAATACTGGGCCACTTCTGCTGTCACCCCCTACTCCTCTGCTCTGGTCTTCAGGTGCTGGATGCCCGTGGAGGCTACACCCACACCGAGAAACCAGCCAGCACAGCTGGAGTGTGGTTCAGCTGTCCTCTGTCCTGAACTGACTGCTCAGCATTCCCAGAGCCAGTGAATTGGATCCCAGATGTATTTTTCCATGGGGTCTTCACGTGGAACCAGGAAGGCAAGGCTGGCTTATGCTGTCAGAGCTTGACGTGGGACTTGAACTCATGACATGTGAGATCATGATTTGAGCCAACATCAAGAGTTGGCTACCTAACTAACTGAGCCACCCAGGAGCCCCAAGCGCTTTCATTACCTTTACAAAGGGATCTGTTACTCCAGAAGATTCACAACTGCTGCTGCTAATTTGGTAAGATGAGCCTGTCCTTCAGGGTTTCAGGCAGGACTTGACCTCTGCTTTTCAGAGAGAAGTGTGCGTGCATCATGAACCCTAGGAAGGTGTTTCTGAGCCTGACTCCGTTCCCCTGCCACTCACCTTGCCAAGTCATTAAGATCCAACCGGCCATCCTTATTTTTGTCAAAGATCTTCATCTGGAATGCAGAAGGGGAAACAACTGTAAGAAGCACTTATAACAGGAATCCATTCTAAAAGCACTTTGACATTTTGCCCTTCCAATCCCAGAGTTGTCTAAAACTGGCTGCGGCCATCTCACATCACAGAGTACTCCCGACAGAGGACAGAGGAATATCATTTTTCCATTGAAGGCAGAAGTAGTTGAGGAGGATGTGACCTAGGGGAAAGCCTGTCTCTCCAGGCTTCCAGGATTGTAGGAAGGAAGAGAGGGAGAGGCAGAGACAGGACAGTCAAGTGCACAGATGTGTGACTAGATGTGCTGGAAGGGGGGCCCTGGAGGGAGGAGATCACTAGCTAAGGAAGGACAACACTGAGTAGAGAGAGTTGCTGTGGGTTGGCTTTCCAGAGATGCTCTGAGCCCCTAGGCATTTGAGTGCTGGGTTGAGATCCAGAGGACTGTGACGGGATGAGATGATGCTGGAACAGAGGGTGGGGATGGACGCCAGAGCCACGGGCTGGAAAGAGGATGTGTGATAGAGAAACACTTAGCATGTCTGACTCCATGTGATTTCTGTTTCCCTTGCTGCTCAGAAAACCTTTCTGCTCAGCCCTGCAGGCTACAGCTAAGGTGTGCGAAAACCACTCTTTACCCCAAATAAACTTCACCCAAGGAGAGAAGGGAGTATATAAAGAAATAATAAGGCTATCTTTAAGATTTATGGGAATGCCATGATCAGGTTCCTGTACACAGAGGTCAAGTGACCAAGGACAGAAAAGTTTTACAATCTTCCTTGGACCCTGGTGGGCTCCTGAATGTTACAGACAACAATCACCTCTTGATTCCAACCTCCTCCTCTTCTCCCTCCTCCTAACATAAAGGAAGCTCACATTTCATGCTGAGAGGAGCTGGAGCTACTCTTTGAGACAACAGTCACCAACTCCTTGGTTTGCTGGCTTTCTGGATAAAGCTGGTTTCCTTTCCCCAGCGTCTTGCCTCTTGACTTACTGGTCTGTTGTGTGGAGATAACATGTGGACTCCACTACAGATGTGGCAGAGGATTAATGGCCCTCACCCAGCAAGAGGTAAAGGATGGCTGTGGAACTAGCCTGTACTTCCAATGGGCCAGCCAAAGCTAAGAGCACAGATTATGAGTTCATCACACACTTCCCCCACTGTGAACACCAGCAAGGTAGCAGCAACTGAGTGGCCAAGAGGCACCAGCCCAGGGACCAGAGGAGTCAAAGAGCATTGTGCCCAGGGACCTTGGCTCCTCCCCTCCCCCACTAGGGCCCAAAGCCACTTTTCTCTCCTTGATGCCACTTTTGCAGAAGAGTCTGGGTTGGATGAAGGTGACTGAGAAATCTAAGAGGCTGAGCTTTTCCTTTTGTAGAAAGACTTAGCATGATCCAAAGAGACTATTTAAATGATAGCACCAGACGAGGCTTTAAACAAGATGGATCAGATTAATTTAATCAAGATGGAAGAGAGATTATTTCACTGCATATTTGAGTCATAGTGTGAGTGAATTTTGTGACCTCACCACATTTTAGTACAGCAGCTCTAAACATATTTGCAGGAAGAGGCCGTACAGGAAGAGAGACAGGGTGAAAAAATCTCAGAATATATGTAACAGATTTTTGCATTAAAAAACATATCAGTCCATCATTCCTCACTACCTAAATCCAGTTTACTTTTAATATTTGAAATGAATTTGAAAGCCCATTTCCCCAAAACTTTAGCACCAAAAATGTACAGTACAGAATCTATTAAAATGCAGGTTATATTTTTATACATTTGGATATACTACACATCCAATTGTGTCTCAGATACAAATTCTCTATCCAGTAAAAGTCTGATACTTTGCTAAAGACTGAGCCATGAGTTCTTTCCATGACACTACCATTACAGAAGTTTCTATTTTAATAGAGAGCTAAATTATCTCGAGTTTTAAGCAAGTAGTAACTCACCTTGAAGGATGCAGACCCATCTCCATAGCTGTCCAAATTAGTCAAAGGGGAAAATACCTTTTGCTCAAAATTGGCTTGAGGAATAACTGACCACCAATGTGGTAAATTATGCTCCTACTAATCAGAAAATTGGTTACGTGGTTCATTTGAGAAGTTCTGAGAAGTGGTCTGAGTCAGAGCTGTGAATTTAAGGTCGTCACCATTAGCTGGTATTTCAAGCCACGAGGCTGGTTGAGGGCACCAGCAGAGGGAGGGTAAGCACAGAAGCAAATAACTCTCAAGACTGGGCCCAGACATGTTTCACTTCAATAGGGATCAGAGAGCTGAGTGCCTTCTCCTACAGAAGGAAGCCAGCTACTTCAATCCAGGCCCAAAGGACAGGAGCCAGACCAGGGTAGAAGATGGGACAAGTTTAACCTCATGTCTCTTTGTCTGCCAGATTTACAATAGCTCAAGTTCCATGCTCTAATTAGGTATGTCAGCTTAACATCTCCTGCATGTATTAACTTACATTTTCTTTTAAAGCTCAATATTATCCAATAGCATTCTATTCAGACAGCTAATCTTTCCTCCTGCCAGGTATCCAGCACCTCTCAATTAGATGTCATAATTGGCTTTTGTTAATAGGCTGTTTCCTCCCTTGTCCAGAACATTAATTAGGAATTAGAATAGGATTAGGCCTGTGGACCTCAACTTCTCTCCTACAATTGGGTGCTCTGCGGTGCTCATTTGCTGTTCATGCTTCAGACAGCTTTCAAATGTGCCAGCTCCCATGGGGGTCCATTTGAATTCATTTAGCAGGGTATATTTCTGAAGTAAAGCATTTGATGCTAAACCTTGGAACCAAATTTGTAATGCAGGGCTGCTCTGACTGTATCCATTGCTCAATAAAAAGCCATTAAAGCAGTGGTAAGGTGATTTCACACTTGGTGAATCATTTAGAGCTCAGGTTCTAAAATCTCTTTTGAGCATATTGAATTTCTGAAAGTTATTTCACCCAAAGGTCACTAGGGAATTGTAAAAAGTCTTCTAAAAAACAACTATAGTCCAGTTCCCAAATCTGTTCATTGGAAAAGTATAAGTTGCCTCTATAATCTCAGGAAGAACAATGAAATAAATTGACCATAATCTTATTACACTCATTCTGGTCAGACTAGGTCTTTGGGTAGTAACTCTTCCTTGATTCCTCAACACTTAACCTATCACCTCAGGGCAGAAAGAATCCGTGAGGGGCCACTCAGGGTTTGACTGATCATGAGCCTATCTTCATGGGACAATTTGGAACAAAAGATGAGTGTTTCCCCACAGCACTCATAAACAGAAGAACCACAGGTTTGGGCAATGACACAGACACAGGATAACAACATAGTCTTGGTCAATGGATGGTTCTCAACCCAGATACTCAACAGCTGGGCGAGACCATTCTGATATTCCCCGGTGGGCTCACAGGATTCCAAGCTTCCAGAGCTGAGCTCAGAGCCATCAAACCTGCACATTGCCAGATTTTCTCCAGCCCAGAGCATTCTATCTGAAGGCTGCCCGCGGTGGGCTTTGTAAAACTGAAACCCAAAGGCCGTGTGTGAAGAGAGGCGCTCTGAGCAGCCAGGGTAGCTGGGCTGATGGGTGAGGTGCGCGTAATCTTTTCAGCCAAGTATTGACTTTCCCAGCGGCCCACGTGTTCCCTTCATGCCTGTTCCTGTCCCTTAAAATGGGTTGTTTGAGTGAGCCGACCCGGAGCTTCATGCAGCCACAGATTCCTCTTCTTCCCTGGCTCCTTGCATCAGCTTAGCCACGTTCTCTTCCCCAGAACTATTGTGTAGAACCCTTTCCTGTTTTCTGTTGTCTCTCATTAAGTTGTTTCCTATTTTGTGTTTAATAAGATGGCAGCTCTTAGGATTATTTCTGGACTTCAAGAGGAGAAAAATGTTTTCCTAGGTAATAAATTCTGGCACAGCTTGATAGCTCGAGTTCCTGTATTATCTTATCTTTAAAACTATTAAAAGATTCCTAATCCCTTAATGCAGCTTTGTCCTCACCTTGTTTTTCACTTTCTTCAGAGGAATCGTCATCTCTTCTTAATCTCTCAATAGGGCTTACTCATCCCCTTTTGAAAGATTTCTTTTTAATGAAGAAAGTATTTAAACATCCAGACTTGAGTATTGTGGTGGAAAATACAGCTTTCAGAGGTAGATCTGGGTATGCATTTCCAGTCCGTCCTTACTATATTTGGCCTAAGTCTGTAATCCTCAGTTTTTCCATTTATAAAATGAGAGGTAAAATATACTTATTTTATATAGTTGCTGCGAGAATCAAATGTTTGAAAAGTGCTTTGCACAGAGCTCAGCACAATGTGAACACTCAGTATAATTAAAGGTACTGATTAAAGGTACTCAGTACTCGGAGTAAATGCTGGCCATGTTGCAGTGAAAATAACATGCCACACGTACTCAGCTGAGGAGGCGTCTTCAAACAACTCAGCTTTAACTCTGTCCATCTACCTTTTCTTGTCCTGCCTCTGGTGAAACTCTAGAATGGTGGCTTCACTATAACTTACCTTATTTTTGCTTTTTCCCTCCATTACCAAATTTTCCCTAACTGGAAGACTCCAGAAAGTCAGGGACCATACCTTTCTTGGTAAGTTCTCCCTAAATGAACTCACATCTTTGAGTGAACTAGTTTACCAGATCATATTCTGACCTGGAAAAAAAGCATGAAGAAAATGAGGGATTTGGTGACAGAGGGGATGCTGTGGGTCACTTTGAGACTCTACTCCTCAGCCCAGAAAAGGCATGTCAGACTCAAGGAGCACAGGGATGTGAACTCTGAATCCATAGACTTGTCCCAGGCCTGTCCTGCTCTGATTATCTTTTCATATTTGCACTGCTTTTCCTCTTCCTCCTCTCTCACCCCCCACTCCTGCTTTCCTACCCCTCCTACCTCTCATCATCAGTGTGGGGCTCCAGCGACCCTGTCTGGGTCTGCCCTGGGCTCAGCACAGCTCATACCCTGCCTGGTGGGGACCCCTGTGGATGACTCTCTGTGATGAAGGACCCTGGCGAGACCCCTAAGGGATCAAGCTCAGTACATCCAAGCACTCCTTCTGCCTCTGTCCTGGAGGGTCTGGTTTACAAAGAGGAAAAATCAAAGGAGAATTTCAGAATGGCAAGCATAGCTTGGGGAAGGCTGGATCTGTGTGATATGCCATCTACCAGGCGCGTAGACGACGGCATCTTCTGTTTCCAGCACTCTGGTGGCTCTCGTCTCACTCAGACGAACCCCACGTTCTCACAGTGGCTAAGAAGCCCCACAGGGTCTGGCCTCTGATGAGTCTCGCCCTTGAGTGCTCTGCTCCAGCCACACTGCTGTCTCCCTGTCCTTGAAGATCGCTGGCACACCGACCGCTGTCCCAGGGGCTCTGTGCTTTCCTGCACTCTTGTCCTTCCTCAAGCCTCACCTTCCAGAAGGGTGAAAATTACACTCCCCAGCCCCCGGTCTCAGCTACTTCATCAGCACAGCCATCCTTTGCCCTGCTCTACTTTTTCATTTTCTCCATAACACTCATTACCCTCTGTCATGTGACATCATTTATTATTTATTATGTTTATGGTTATTGTCAGTCTCTGCTTTGTCTGGTTTGCTCACTGCTGGGTCCCCAATGACTTGAGGAGTGCCAGGGGCATGGAAGATACTCAGTGGATATTTGTGGACTGGGTTAAACGAGTGACTGATGTGAAGACAATGCTATGCATGAGGTACCCTGGGGGAACAGGGAGAGGAAGCTGCATCCACTACAGAAGAAGGTTATGGAAGGTTTTCTAGGCCACGATGATGTCTTACTGAATCTTGAAGGACAAGCAGGAACTGGGAGAACCAAAGTAGGGAATAGAATTAAGCCACATTAGTGAGAAAGTAGTGATTGAGTATTGTAGTGGGAGGCGGAGGGCAGCCCCTCAGCATCAAAGGTAATCCAAGAAATACTAGAAAGATCCTGGTGACTCTAAGAGAGTATTGCATCATGTAGTGCATGATTTATACATTCATAAAGTCAAGGTAACAAACACCCAGTGCTAACACTGGGTTGAGTCAAGGTTGGAAAGTGCTCAGCTAGGAACATAAGCTGCTTGTTATTCTCAGGCAGTTACAGGGACATCTCCCTTTCCAGAGTATTTATTCTGCTGGAAATCAGGTGGGAAGAAACCTTGAGACTTCCCTGTGGCTGGGAAAGTTCTCCCTGCTTCTAGGAGATTTCCCACCTCACTCTTCTGTGCTGAGTGCGTATTAATCAGGATCTCAAACCCCATTTGCACGTTATTAAAATAGGTCGAATTATTTCCTTGATTGCTCCTGGCATCGGCTCCGTTTCTGCCCAGGCCATTTACAAGCCATTACAGTCAAGTGCACCCTTCGCCTTCCCTCGTTCCCAGGGCAGGTGCCCGTGACTGGAGGCCGAGTCAGACAGAGTGCGGAGTGAGAGAGGCTGAAAACCAGGAGAGCTCAGCATCCAGTTTAACCAGCACCTTCAGCCAGGTGACCTAACTTCTCCCGGTTACCTGATTTTTAAGGTGAGTTTAAGAATTCAACTTCATGCGACTCAGTCACTTACCCTTTCTAAGCCTCCAGCATCAGATAGACAAAATAGCATGAAAATGCCAACCCTGCAGAGAAGTCACCAGAAATAATACCATATTTGGGGCACCTGGGGGCTCAGTCGGTTAAGTGTCCGATATTGGCTCAGGTCATGATCTCGTGGTTCGTGGGTTCGAGCCCCGCGTCGGGCTCTGTGCTGACTGCCAGCTCAGAGCCTGGAGCCTGTTTCAGAGTCTGTGTCTCCCTCTCTCTCTGACCCTCCCCTGCTCATGCTCTCTCTGTCTGTCTCTCTCAAAAATAAATAAACATTTAAAAAAAAGAAATAATACCATATTTGGAAATCAGCTCAAGGCCTCTGTAGGTTGACCTAGTGGCACACGTTTTATGAAATTCACCAACTCTTCTCGGTGTTATGTGCTCCTGACTGCTCGCCAGGAAGCTCAGTAACATGAATCTGTGCTGGAGCTCTTCACATGTGTAACAATCCTACAAGCAAGTAAGCCTTCGCCGGCAATTTCTTTTCCTTATTAACTGAGAAAATGACAGCGTCTGATTGGACCGAAGCACTCGTCTGGGGGAAGGAAGGAGCGCGAGGGACACGAAAGGCAGAGAAGCCAGACTGTCGACTGGGAGCTGGAGAACTGCGCCGTGTTGGGTGAGGATGAGTTTGCCAGAGGCAGCTCTCCCGTGCCGTCATTTTTCAGGGAGCTTTGACACTGAAATAATCTCAGGTCACTCAGGACATGGAAGCCTCAGGTCACTCAGCCACGAGGGGCCGGCAAACCAATACCAACAAGGACCACAGGCACGAGCTAACAGGTGCTGAGCCCCCATTACGTCCCGGACGCCCTGCAGAGATATTGGCTCTCTCCACACACCCCCCCCCAGCAGTTAGGTACCATTAACCCCCATTTTACAGATGAACTAGTAAAATGGAGAGGCTGATGGTCTCCCAAGGTCGCTGCTACTAAGTGGCAGAGACGGGACGCACATCTCCCATCTGTCTGACTCCCCGCCGCCCTGAATCAACACGCTAAATGAACAGAATGGGGGCAAGAAGTGGCTCCCTGTGCCTGGTACTGATTGTCCGTGTTTACCCGTTTCTACGTGACTTCGAGCGGCACGGAGGTTCTTGGCCTGGTGCCTGGTAACCCGATGCTGACTGGACTTTCCACGTCTCCCCAGGGACAGGTGAATGGCTTTCCTCTCAAATACATGCAGTCTTGTCCTCAGAGAGAGGCTACAGCAGCTCAGTTTTAGTCAACGTTTCCCAGAGGAGTTCTGTTGTGTTCATTCAGTCTGCAGGGGCCCCTCGGCACCGAGTCCGGGCCCCGGGGAGGCCTCAGGGGGGCTGCCCTTGTGAGAGCACACTGCCCAGCTACTTACCATGGTGCCAGTGTATTCGTCCAGCTTAGCGTCGGGAACGGCCTTCCTGTGGTGGAGGAAGAGGTCTCGGAGGAAGTTCTGTGACATCGAGAGAAGAGCCACGTCTTATATCTTACATGGGGAGCAAATAAACCACCAAGATCTCGGGACACCTTATTTCAGGGATTGTGGTTCTTTTTTTTTTTTAAGGAGAAAATAAAATGCTTTTAGGAAGCAATAGATCCGAGAATGAAGGGCTCTCACTGTTTAAATGGAGCTCACAGGGGCACCTGGGTGGCTCAGTTGGTTGAGAGTCCTACTCTTGATTTTGGCTCAGGTCATGATCTCTTGGTTCGGGAGTTCAAGCCCTGTTTCAGGCCCTGCGTTAACAGCAGAGCCTGCTTGGCATTCTCTCTCTCTCTCTCTCTCTCTCTCTCCCTTTCTCACTCCCCTTCCTCTTCTCGCTCTCTCTCAAAATAAATAAATAAAAAATAAAAACTTTAAAATAAAGGGAGCTTACGGAACCCAGAGGATGGCTCCAGGCATGCAAAAAGTATAAAAAATTCCTCAATTTTATGTCTCTTTCCCAGAGAAAGCAATGTTATCTGCATGTCCTAAACCTTTTAAACACAAATAAGGTTTTTTTGTTGTTTTTTTTTAAGTAACAAATTCAAATGCATGTTTCCTGGGCCCACAGAAATTAAGTTCATGGTCCATACACCAGTTCCCAGTGATGAAGAAGTCCATCTCCACCCAGTGAGAGTCTCCACACTTACCCGCAGCTCAGTCCCCACACTTACCCGCAGCTCAGCAGCTGATATAAAGCCACTGCTGTCAGCGTCGTACTTGCGCCAAATCTGAAATACACGAAAGCCATGCATCCATTTACTGCTCCAATGACCGTGCAGACAAGCACAAGCCCAGAGAGGACGTGGAGGGCTGACACCAGAGTCTGTCCCTGGTACAGCTGGTGACTCTGACAATGTAGCCTGCAGCGTTATCAGGAAATTGCATGCAAGGTGGACCAGAGACAAATCCTGGGGCCCAGGAGAGAGTCAAACCGAGGCACGTGCATAGAACTAAAGCCCCAAATAGCAATAACTTTAATAAAAGGGTGAACCCCTCCCAAATACGCTGTGCCAGAAGGCCCTAAGGAATCTTGCCTGTGCAGCCTTGGCCTTGGCTCTGGGAAAAGGGAATAAAACATCTTGGATAATTCCCAGTGACAAGGCAACCCCTTCATTGGTTTAAGGGTAGCATCCATCCAGCGGAAGATACAATTACTAAACTGGGAGGCGGAACTGAACATTTTTAAAGAGACACTGACCTGCTTTCTTTACTACATGGTGTGGTTGGGACCACCTGTGATAGATTATTCCGAATATAAGCGTCGCAGGTTGGCAAGGTAAAGTTGTTTTTTCTAATTGACAAGATTTTCTGTAGATGTAGAACGGATTAGCTGAGTCACCAACTGCAGAGACCTTAACCCTAGACTCGAGTCAGCCAGCCCTGCCTGAGGACCCCGCAGGGACAGTGCGCATCCCGACAGGTCGTGACAAGGTCGGGAAGCGTCACCTTGCTGTCCCTGAGACCAACATGTCTGCCTGAGTTCAGCCAGACCTACAAAGTCAACTTGTTACACCAAAACTGAGAATGAGAATTTCAAATAACAAAACCATTTTACACGCTTTTTTTTTCATGTTATTCTTCAAAAATGTCTGTCTACTTTATCTTACAATTTTCTTACAACTGAGCCATTTGAGGGCCAAAGACTTTTATGTGAATCATGCGCACGCCTGTCTTTAAAGAATGAAAGCAAAATGAGGAGATTTCTGGGCAAACAAAACAGAGTTTTTACCTGTTTTGTTTTACTTTTGAGTGAAGGATATATTCCAGGAAGGAGGAACATGAAGAGGGAGAATCTGAATCACAGACCAGAATGGTACACAAGGGCGCTGGGAAACAAATCTTGACTGTGTCTTGTTTGTGGGGTTAAGGAAAGCAAGATGGAACCGAGATCCTGGACGGTCACAGCACGGGAGCTCTGAGTGGTGTGTCAGGATGAAAGGGTTTTAAGGTCCTGGGGCTCAGAGGGAACATAAAGGCATTAACTTAGAATGTTTAAAACTATATAGGATACTGATAGGTTATAACAAATTTAATTAAAATAATCAAGCGTCTGAAATGAGATCTATATATACCTATATATTTTTTTAAATTTTTAAAAATGTTTTATTATGTATTTTTGAGAGAGAGAGAGAGAGGCAGAGCATGAGCAGGGTAGGGATAGAGAGAGAGGGAGACACAGAATCTGAAGCAGCTCCAGGCTCTGAGCTGTCAGCCCAGAGTCTGATGCTGGGCTTGAACTCACAAATGGCAAGATCATGACCTGAGCTGAAGTTGGACACTTAACCTACTGAGCCACCCAGGCATCCCTATATATATAATTTTTAGTTGGGTAGAGAAAGGGAAAACTTCCTTGTTAGAAGCAGTTGACAAGCTAGAAGGGAGGAGGCAGATGGAATAAGTTACAAGAGAAATAAAAAGATAGGAAGGTGCTATAGTGCTATTTCTTTTTTCCCATTCCTTGACATTATTGAATACTATGTAAGGCCTAACATTTTAATGCTGTTTTTCTGATTATAAGAGTACATCAGGTTCACTGTACACAATTAATGAACTACAAAGAAGGACAAGTATAATCTCCAAAACTATCTACCCCCGAGATCATGTTTTTTGTGTGTTTCCTTTCCATCACAGTTCTACGGTACACCTGACAGGGCTAAATTGGGGGCCATACACTTGGGCAATATGTTGATTATTTTCATTTAAAATTCTCTGAGAGCATTTTTAAGCACAATTACAATTATTTTGAAAATGCCATTTAAAATAATTTGTAAATAATTATGATTCTGTGCACAATTGGAAAATATAAAAGTGCAAAGAATATGAAAATCATCTGAAATCTTACTGCTTAAAAGCAATCAGTATCTATATGGCATATATTTCCCTATGGTCTAACTTATGTACGTGTTAGGATGAACAACTTTAAAAATAATGTTAAGATCATAACGCATGTACAATTTTGGTTCTTAACATTATAACACATTTCGTCAATATCAACATTTCTCATTATACCCTTAAGAGAGATGCTTGGAGCAGTAGAATTTTATGAAGTCAAAGGGTAAAGATATTTTTAACTTTGAATAATGACATTTTAAAGGATTTTGAGGCGCCTGGGTAGCTCAGCTGGTTAAGCGTTTGACTCTTGGTTTTGGCTCAGGTCATGATTTCACAATTCATGAGTTTGAGTCCCACATTGCACTCTCTGCTGTCAGTGCAGAGCCCACTTTGGATCCTCTGTCCCCCTCTTTCTCTGCCCCTCCCCTGCAGGACACACGCATGCTCACTCTCTGTCTCACATACACAGACACAAATAAACATTTAAAAATCAATAGTAAGGGATCTTGATCGTGTTTTTGCAAAATTGCTTTCCATAAAATTGTTGCAGTGTGCATGCCTACCAACAGATCATGAGCATCAATCTCAGTGCTACCTTGCTGGCACCACATATTCTGTTGATTCTCTTAAAATCTTTATCTCTTTGATTGGTAAAAATAGTTGTTTTTAATTTGTATTTCTTGGCTACCAGCATACGTTTATTGTCCAAATCCCTTCTGTGATTTGTCTATGCATGTGCTTGCTCAATTTTACAGGACTTCCACTTGGCCGGAAGTAAATACAGCCACGCAAAAGGGCACTAAGTCATTATCTTGTAAATGGGGCCATGGTAACTGTTTCACGAAATGGATCCTGGATGCAGTAGCTGTCTTGGGTCTCTCTGACTTTCCAGGTCTTTCTCCAACAGACACTAACACCTAGGGGCTGAAAGAGGAGTTAAGCGGAGCCATTGACTCTGGCTTCAGCCTTCACTCAAGCACAGCGATGGTAAACAGAAGTCCTCCTGGCCGGATCGACACTCGAGTGAGTAACATTTTCACAGTATTATACCTTCAAAACTAGGATTAATTGCCAACATTTAAAAACAAATAGTTTCACCTAGAGTCTAGATGTCCAGACGGCAGTTTGCTGGAGCTGCCCAGTGTCTCTGCTTTGGAGGGGCTCTTGATCTCTGGGCTCCCCAGTCCCCAGCAGACCCCCATCACACTCCTCCGTGTGCACCTGCCTGGTCTCCTCTGGCCCAGGCTGAAGGACTTGGTCAGCTCGGAAGCAGCCTAGGTCAGCACACAGAGCACACGGGGGCTTGGGGCCAAAGCTCTGGCTCATCACCAAGGGCTCCTTTTGCTTGGTCTTGTCCCTGTGGGCAGCTCTCCCTCAGGGACTGGACAGGGGTGGTGGCCACCACAGTTGGCGGGGGGCCCTGGTCTCTTCTCAATCCCCATCATCCATAGAGATACAACCAAACACTTACCTGCATAAACTCCACGCTGCTGTCCAAGGGGGTTTCCTGACGAAAGAGCAGAAGGAAGTTTTCATCCTCAGACAAGAACATATTGGCAAGCTAGGGAAATGGAGAGAAAGAGCAGTTGGTGACACTGGCCAGTGCCCCCTGGGTAAAAGTCATGGTGGGACCTTTTACAGGGCAGAAGGGCTTGGATCCCCCAAGACTGAGAGCTCAGATTCCAGTTCTGTGCCCTTGATTGCCATTTTCAATTCCCTGATTTTGTGAAACAGTATTGCATCCCTCCTGGGAATGAAGCACTGTGGGTGTCTGCCTTCTGCAAGCTTACAATCCAAAATAATAATTCTGATTTTAATAATAAATTTGTAAGAGCTTACTATGTTCCGGGCACTATCTTAAGACTCTCTCATATTAAAATAATTTCACTCTATAATATAATGGAAAACGAAAATAGCAAATAGCTCTTATACATGTCATGAATTGTTCTAAATTCTGACATTTGCTTAGTCACTTATCCCTAACAACGACCTATGGAGTAGACAACACACCATTATTATTATTTGTTAGTTAGGGCAACTGGAACTTGCCTTAGCTATGCCTTTAGTAAGCTGTGGCATCAGGACTATGGCCAAGCTCTTAACCTTTATGTTGTGCTGGTGAGATGCTGTATACATGTTCACTTCAGTGTCACAGGCAAAGGCAGGAGTGTTGTATGTTCGCTAATTTATTCTTTTATGTTATTAGTTCATTAGTATCTCTATGATGCTGCAATAGTTGGTCCACGTGTGATAAATTCAATCATCCAGATTTCCATTCGAGTGCCAGCTCTACTGATTTATGTCATATCTCCCATGAGTAAGGTGACATTTTCTTCTCCTGTGTGACTATAACTCTTACATCAGCATGTAGGCGTGTTTGGCTGGCCTCGTCTGTCACCTGTGGTCTAGCAGTGTTACTGTCTTCACTCTGAGCTGTCTGTCATGAACAATGGCCATTCCTTCCATCACTGGGCGCTTCTCTCGGCATCTGCCAGAGACGGAGTCCAGACCAATGCTTTGGTGGCTTTTAGGCATGATGAGCCCACATTCCTGCGCACATTCTGTAGTTTGATGAGGGTCTGCTCATGGACATTACGTGTGAATAATAGCAATCATATTTTGAGTATCGTATGTTGAGTAGATACTCAATGGCAGGCACTGGGAATTGAGCTTTTCATATATTATCTCATTAAAGTCTCATACCAGTCCTTCCGGGGGGCCTAAATACCCCCTTACTCAGGGGAACAGGACAGCATTGTGTGCCTGTGATTATGGATCTTGATTCCTTCTCCATTGCTCGCCTGTTATTTGATATGGCACAATTTAATTGGTATCTCTGTGCCTCAGTTTCTTCATTTGTAAAATGGACAGTAATGCTTATATCCTAGTGTTTATGTCAAAACTAAAAGTGAAATGAGGTGCCATTAATAAGCTGTTCAGTAAAACTCCCGGTACATATGAAACATTCAATACATGGTAACTGCCAAGTTGATGGAGATGAACAAACGGAGGCACAGGGAACAGCAACTTGGCCAAGGCCTCACGTTCACAGCGGGGACTTGGCCCTTTCTCTGCCCCACCCCTCGGCCTGCTGCCATGGTTCCAAGGTCAGCTGGGTCTGGCAACTGCTCTTGAGGACTGAGTTCTTTTTTGCATGGGTACCATAGGCCAAGGAACCAAATTAAAATGCAATTCTCTGGCCCTCAGTGTCTAGAACCCAGTCTGTCTTCAGCTTTATTGGAGTGACACAGAGGAGCCCTGGACAAATCAGATATACAGATAATCTCCCCAAACCTGGCTTCAGCTCTCAGTTGGGACTTCTTCCCATCTTAATTGTGCTAGAATACCTCATGTGCGCCCAGGTGCGCCGATTTTTATGCCTCACTGCCTGTGACTGGAGGAAGTGACATAGTCAGTGGTCCAGCACAAGGTCGGGGAGACACTGCTCCTCCTTAAGCTCACAGATGGGAGGTTTTAAGGGTTCTCAGACTGATGAGCTGGATACCGTCAGCTTGTCTACAACCACCTCACTTATTCTTGTTTACGGGACTCCATGACTAAGTGATTGGCATGGATGTCAAAGCTGATCCCAAGTTCCCAAGTGCTTCAAGAGGATGTGCTTGCTGTCAGCAGGTGTATACCATGGGTCATTTATTCATTATTAAGTCGGTACACATTTATAGCACCACGAATGTTACCCTCTGTCCTGTGGTCTGGAGAATGCAACAGCAGACATGCAGTCATGGAGACTTTGGTATCTCCAGCATGCAGCTTGCATTTCCTTCTTTGGTGGATATGCACATACGTTTCCATCAATTATATGCACATGCTGGTTATGTATATAATTTTGGCTCGGAGTGAAAATTTTGGAAACAACTACATTCACACACCTGGATTTAGTTTACTGCTTTTCTGAAAAGGCTGCTTCCTGGTGATGGTCTTGAACAGCATTTATAAGGAGGCATTGTTTTGCCCTCTTATCATGACTTTCTGAAGAAAAACAGCCCTGTTTTCATCAATAATATTGTGTGTCCATGTATGGCAGCATCAAGAGACTTGCTCTGTAGGTTTCAGGTAATCTGTGTAGCCAGGAATTTTGACTATAAAATAAATATCTTACTTTTAAATGAGCTCATTGTTACATACAGACTGATAACTATATAGCATGACCCCATCGAGTGATATCTTTAAGTGGGGTTACACTTAAACTGGTGCCACTTATTAGCCTCGTAGTGCACATGAAATAGGGGTAATGTCCCACACCTGCCTCCTTTCACTACTGTGGAGTATAAGATACCAAAATATGTGTGGAAATCCTTTCTAAACTGTAAACCCTTTTGTAACTGGAAGGAAAAACGATGAGGTTAAAGAGAGGCTACCCAAGGCACGGTGTGCTTAACACCTTGCTTTTTGTAGACTCAGTAAATGTGGGCTGAGCTGAAGACAGCTCCTGTCTGTTTTGTTTTTAACAATCTTCAGGGATAGCTCTTTCCAGCCTCCGCTGGCTGATGCGGAAGTTTAAACTCATTTATTGTCAGTAAATTTTTCCTTATACCAAGGTTGAATTTGAACAGCACATTGCAAAGAGACAAATATTGGATCAGGTAACTGAAAGGCCTCCAGCATACCAATTCCCCAGTTATCAAATAAGTATAAATATTGATTGACCTAAATAAAATGATGGAACTATTTGTTGCTAAGTGGATGAAAAAGGAGAGGTGATTACTTCAAAATGCTGTGTAGGCCACCTGCCTTGCAGAGAGTTCTGATTTTCTGATAAGATTTGCATTATCTTTCAGAGGAAACGGTAGCCCTAAAAAGGCTCAGTCAAGAAAGGACGGCTGGGAAAAGTACCTCTTTCATTTGTACACGACCATCTCTAGAGACATCCTGGGGAGCCATACTTTGCTGTTTCAGTCTCTGCACATTTTCTTCTATGGCCGCCGCCTATAATAGGCCAGAAAGAACCATATTAAAGCCGCTAGGGTTCCAAAAACATGGCTGGGATATCATATATTCAGAGCAGATAGCCTGATAATTATGATACTCTAACCTGGGAAGCAGGTCACTTAGCCATTTGGAGCAAGTCTACCATATTGAGCAGGGGGAAAAGTGATAGGGATTTCTTGAGCAAACCATCATTGATGGCACCCTGACCAGGTGAGATCTACAGCTGATGAGTTCCTAAAATCTGAATGGAGAGAAGTTGAGCTACTTGAGTGTTAAAGGATGGTTTTGAATATCATTATATGTTTTGCTGCGACAAAAAACTGTGTAGGAATGAACATACTTTCTTTCCCAAGAACTTTCTTCCCAAGACTTTCTTCTCAAGAACTCAGATTTTGTTCTTTTTTTTTTTTTTTTTTTTTTGGAGAGCAAGTGAGAGAGAAAAACCACACATGAGTAGTAGGGGAGGGGCAGGGGAGAGGGGAAAGAGAGAATCCCAAGCAGATTCTGTGTTGTCATCACAGAGCCTGATACAGGGCTCGATCTCACAAACCATGTAATCATGACCCGAACTGAGATCAAGAGTCAGAAGCTCAACCAACTGAGCCATCCAGGTGCCCAGTTTTGTTCTATTTCTTTTTTTAAAGCTTTTTTTAAAGTTTATTTATTTATTTTGAGAGCAAGAGAGAGAAGAGAGAGAGAGCATGAGTGGTGGATGGGGCAGAGAGAGAGAGAGAATCCCAAGCTGGCTTTGGGCTGTCAGTGCAGAGCCTGATGTAGGGCTCGATCTCATGAACCATGGGATCATGACCTAAGCCAAAACCAAGCATCAGACATTTAACTGACTGAGCCACCCACACACTTCTGTTGTATTTCTAAGTGAAAAGCCTGGCCCTTCTAGGTTGCTGGTTTGACATAGCTCATTCCCTTCATCTTCTCCTTGGATTTGCTGAGGAAAAGGAAATTAGAAGAGAGGAAAAGTAATAAAGTGTTGAATTACCAAAGATGCCATATCTCCCTTCCATTCACAACTCCTTCTACATCCTAACTTGTTCTTCATCAGTGTACTGCAGGATTGGTACAAAGAAATGTGACATATATAATCAACAGTGGAGAATGAATTCTGATGCAGGAATTGAGAAGCAGAACCACTCACTAGCAGTGCCAGATTCCAAGACCACAGACTCCATTGGCCATGCTAAATTCATTCCCCTTAATGCTATCCTTAATACTCTCCCACACTACCCTGCAACCAGCCTCCTCCTCATAAGTGGGTCCACTGCATATAGAGACATCAGCATCTCTAGTCTTGGCACCTTGGATTGTGTGAGTTTGGGTTTGTGTGTATGGGTTGTATATGTGCAATCACACAGAAAACATATTGATGATCACTTAGCAAGGCGGGTCTTCATTCTGAATTTCATTTGACTTCCTAGATTAAGAGATTTGCAGGATGGCAGTCATTTCCATATCTCTCAAAATACAGTGTCTGTGGAATGAAGAAATGATTCTTTATGAAGGGCTGGGCCTTCCCAAAGGAAGTTAACGAACAGGGGCCATGTTGGTGGAAAATTAAATTTCAAAATAAACAAATGTGAAGCCAAAGAAGTTGTAGCCAGGTGTTCTGCCTTCAGTATGAGGCCACAAACTTGCCTTTTGTCCTTCCAGACCTCCACCCCCAAAACCTATTCCTAGCCCTTGGACCCAAAGCAACAGGACTGCTTCTGTTCCCCATCAGCACCCTCTGCCCCCTTCTCTGAGACTCTGGGCCTCAGCAGAGTCCTCATCATCCCTGAAGCATTGAGGGAGGCCTGGGATGTGCACATGGCCCCAGACAGGGATGCACTGCAGGGCACTGGCCATATCCAGACCTAGTTCAGAGGCCAGTTCTGAGCATTTGAAGAGAAAAGGCAGAGAGCTGAGGAAAGGGGTGAGTAACAGAAACAGCAGCAAAAACAGCTGATGCCTCCATTAAGTCTATCCTGTCAGAGACTCTGAGAACCTGGTCATTACACACAGGCTGCCTGCTCTCCGAGGCTGAGTATCAGGCACCTTGCTGTTAGAAACCTTAAGATTCCTCTTTGTGAGATCTCCATGCCCTGCTAATGAGGGAGGAAAATAGAGCTATTCAGGCCTCTGCAGAACTGCTTGCACCCCTAAACCCCAGGCTGAGGGGCTGCCCCATGGTGGAGGCTTGCCTGTGGCTGGTTCCGTAGGCACTGAGGCATCAATGATTAAAAGTAAGTGTCACAAATGGTGACTGTTGCTCAGTTTAAAGGGCTTCCACTTGGTAAGTCCTGCCTTTTATTAAGGATATGCATAGGGGCTGCGCATTTCTCGGCAGGGAAAAAAATCAGAATTAGGAATAGTTTCCTTAATCACGGTTATCCAGGTAGCATGGAGGGCACAGTGCAGGTCTCTGTGACCATACGCCCCAGCGTAATCCCTCAGCATTTTGAAACAGGATAATGGCAGGCCACCACATTTTTGGATAACAGCTGGCTCCAAAGGTCCCTCCCCAGCCAGGTGCTGAGAAGAGGTGGCTGGGGCTATTGCCAGAGCCTGATTCGACTAGAACCCTCCCTCTGACGGCAGTCACTGTATCTAGGTTGAAAGAGATACAAATTGACTTAGGGGGATTTAAAAATACAAGGTCTTAGGCAGGCCCCAAACGTACTGAAATTCCTAGGGGATGGAACATGGGGTCTGTATTGTAACAAATACAGAGAATTCTTAAGTATGCCCAAGTTTTACCTCCGCTACCCTAAGGATTCTGCAACCTCCCAACCTCTTTACCTCTGGCCTCAGGAATGCCTGCACTGAGTGCAGGGGCACAGGATACTGGTGAGTCACCTGTCTTGTTTCCTGCGGGGACCATGCCTGCCCCTATGTGAGAGGGTGAGAGCCACAGGCTGGCTCTGAGGGAGGGTGAGGAAAGAACTGCCCAGCTGCAAGAGAGCCACCACTCTGCTCTGTCACTAGAGGCAACAGTGCCTCTGATGTTAGCCAAAGCCCCCGAAGGAGTTGGCACATGGGACGGTTCATAGTGTCCTTGGCGTAGGGCAGACCTGTGCTTTAGTAGCCCCACCCCCACCTCGTGACTCAAAAGAGGACACTTCCAGTTTCAACACTGACAGCAATTTTTCTCCTCCTTTCATATCAACCACGAAAGCAAGGAGCTTCTGAAAAGGTGGGAAGTTCCAAGTCTCAGGAAGCTGGGGTTTTTGACTATCCAGTTTATTCTAAGATGTTGGATGGTTCTGCCTTCATCTATTTGTTTTCCTCTAATACTCCTGTCATGCTTGACAAAACAGCATCTGACTCATGGGCTCTGGAATCGTATGAGCCTTAGCATTTACAGCAGTAAGTAGGAGCAAGACAGAGACAGAGACAGAGTGAGATAAGGCAAGGAAGGAGAAGAGAAGAGCAGAGAAATGGATAGAAGACAAGAAATAAGGGACAAAGAAAGGTGAGACAGATAAGAAAGAGAAAGGGAAAGGGAAAGAAGACAGGGAGAGGAGGGATGAGAGCTTCGAGAAACAGACTGACGATAGAAGGGAAACAAGGAGAGAGGAGAGAAGGTGAGACACAGAGAGACATGTAAGACATAGAGAAGAGAGACAGAGAAGTCAGAGAGAAAGTCAAGAGATGATGCAAGACAGGGGCCAGGTATCAGCATAAGAAACAGAAATGGCAGAAAAATGAGACACTCAGACATAAAAAGAAAGAATAGGAGACACAGAGAAGAAGAGATATCTATATATACAAAGAGACAGAGAAAAGACAAGGCTGTGCGGCTGCTGGAGGCAGATGGCAGCCTCTTTTGTTCTGAGCTGGCTGCCCCACCCCCACCCCCACCCCTTAACCACCCTCCTCCCCAAGCTGTCCTGGATGCTACAGGGAGCCTTGTTCCCCTCATTGGGCTCCTACATGAAAGCACAAGGCACTTTATTCTTCCATGGAAACAGTTATATCTGAGGATAAGTGAGCTCCACAATTCATTTTAAATGCTCCTGTCTCCAGAGCTATTCCTTTTACCAGGCATCACCTTATGGAATCTTTACTGGGCTCTCCCATCCCTAGGTGGGTGTGGCTCTGTATGAGTTTTTCCTCTGCTTTAGTACAGGGATGTTCAAAAGTTAATCGCCTTCTCTCAAGGCCAGATTTACCATCAGGGAGGGACATGGACACACTAGATTGGTTTACATTTATTATACCTGGGCTCTGGGTATATTGATTATTTTCCAGTTTGTTACTCCCTAAGAAATCTATACCCTCTTCTATTAAAATGAACAGTGGGAAGTGATTTTAAATGGTTGTTTGTGGTTTCTAGGAAAGGAGTATCAAATGCACTAAACACGCAGAACCTCAAAGCTCTTAACATCTCTTCCACCTTTTTGAACACAGTGAGATGCTTATCTCCAAGTTCAAATCCATTAGCAGAGACATAATCAAGGAAACGTTCAAAACAGAGTTGTCTGAATTTATAGTTTGGGTCTCTGAGTGGATGACAGATGTTTCACTGAAAGTCAGTGACCAGCACACCTAATGCTCCAGTTGTACCTTTTATAAAACCTGCCTCAATCCTCCATGTTGCTAGGAGATGGAGAAAATTACACACAGACAAAGGAAAAAAAAAGACATCAGATGGGATTAATAGGTGCAAATCAACATAGACTTGGGTCTTCTTGCATGTTGCTAAAGGCACATAAATTAATGCTTAGTGGTGCAAGTACTTACATCAGTACCCAGTGTTGTCAAGACGTGGTGAAAGAAAGAATCAAGCTCCTTCTCTTCTATGTAACCTTTTTCTAAATGCAACAAGAGATACATAAATGGTAGTCACTTCCATAGAATACCGTGTGACATTTAGGATTTATCTAAATTGTCTTTAATCTCACACTCTGTAAAATCTCCATGGATACAATTTTTTACTGTTCCAATAACTAAGAACCAATATCTAACCTCTAGAAGTCATGGATTTGAAAAGTAAACACACATTCAGAAGTTAATACTCTGTGCTGGGTTTGTATGAATATTTGGAAAAAGAGAGCTATTAAATACATAGATTTTAATCCATAGGTAAACATGAGTTTTAGAAGAAAATCCAACCCAAGGATTTGGAAGCTTGGAAAATTTTAACAGATGTAATTATCAAATCTTAGTTTGCAGAGTCAAAGCACATTTATGTATTTTCTTTATGGTTGTTGAATTATTAATAAAGATAAACCAAACATTGAGGAGTTCCATTTTCTTTTCAGGTAGTTCCTTTGTGGGGTGGGGTTGGGTAGCGTCTTTCCTAAAGTAGTAAAATTCATCCTCCCTTTAAAGAGCACATTAAGGAGGGCGGGCTTCAGATCACGGCATGTCAACCACAAGCCTCAAATACATGTAATGATCTTTGCCATTATACACGGCATGTCATTTTAGATATATACCACAGAGACTGAGAAGGGGGCCAAGTCCCTCCCCCCACCCTGAACTTGAGACACACACACACAGATTGGGAAGGGGGCTGAGTCCCTCCCCCCACCCTGAACTTGAGACACACACACACACACACAGATTGGGAAGGGAGCGAGTCCCTCCCCCAGCCTGAATTTACACAGACATCCAGGTGTGTAATTCCAGTCTACCTAACATCTGTGCGGTTTGAACAATGCTGGAAGACAACTTTCCCTACGAGGAAGAATGTACGGGAAGGGGAAACTCTAGGTCCTTTCAGAGGGGCTGGAGCCACGTCTACACCTGTGTGTTCAGGTGGCGTGTTCCACTCACCATCCGCATCAAAGCGCTGCCAGACCTGCCAGAAGCCCAGGGCGTCCAAGCGCCCCCGAGGCGGGTCGCGGGCGCTGTCCATGGTGCTGCCGCGCAGCTGAGGCACCTGCAGCCAAGGAACACCTGGTGACGGCGGCGCCTTCCTGACTCCCTCACGACCGGCTGCGCTCTCCGGTTTGCTTTGAATACCTGTTTTCCGGGCTGGTGCGAGGGCAGCTGGCGGTGGCGCCTTCGTGTCGCTACAGTTCCTAAGCCCGACTGTGGAGCCCGCCCCGCTGCTGGCGCGCGGTCCCCGCCCCACCCCGCGCGCGTCGTTCCATGCACCCCCCGAGGGCCCCCCGCCTGCCTCCGCGTTGGGGGACAGGAGGGGCAAACTGCCTTTGCCTTTAACTTGTTTGCTAAACTCAGAAAAAAACAATTCCTCATACATTTTGTGCCTCAAAGGGTTTTCTAGAGAGAGCTCCCGCAATTAAAGTGTTGGAAGAGGTGTCTGTGTTAGGGCCCTTTGTACCTGATAACTTAGAAAGATAGTGTGTGGGGAGACTGGGGATGAGGTGGAGAGGGGTGATGGTGGTAGTGGTAGGAGATTACCAGAAAGCAAGGAGACCGTCAACAGCAACTACTGATCCCTGAGTATTTAGGGCATGTGAATAAGGACTTGCTACTAAATAGCGATTCTGCAAGAAACCATGGTTTAAAGCAGGGTATGAGGATGTTGGGGAAGTCTAAACCATGCTATGCTCTGCTGGGGAAAGAGAGTCAGAGAAGACATGGTGGCCATTTGCAGAGTGTTTAGGTAGAAGACTTAGATGACTGTGTTTGGCTCCTATGTCTTTCACTAAAACCAGATGACAAATCATTTGGAGGAACACAGAGCTCTAAGGATCAGAACTGTTCAAAACCTGACTGGTTGCTTTGTGAAATAGTGAACTAATGGGCACTGATGGCTTCCAGCCTTGGGCTTTGAACCATTTGTTGAAGGAATCTATAGAAGGAGCTCGGGTATTAAGAGAGTTAGACAAGATACAGATTTTTCCTTATGTCAGTGACCCTGGTATCAGCATTCAAATTCAGTTTTTAAAAGCACATATATATAAGCCATCTAAACTACAGTTGGAAACAGAACATGATACTCCTAGATAGATAGTCCTGAGTTAGGACTCCAGCTCCATCACTTGTTGCCTTTGTGACCTGGGCTGTTAGTTTTCATCTCTCTGAGACTCTGTTTTCTCATCTATAAGGTGAGGATTTTAATATCTGCTTTGGGGTGTTGCTCATAGGAATGTACAATATATTATAACTGCTATGGTCTTAATAGAGGGTAAGAGGTGACTATATTATATATATTTTTTAATGGTTGGGAGAGGCACCTGGGTGGCTCAGTTGGTTAAGCATCCAACTCTTGGTTTTGGCTCAGGTCCTTACCTCATGGTTCCTGGGTTCAAGTCCTGAGTTGGGCTCTGTGCTGACAGTGCAGAGCCTGCTTAGAATTCTCTCTCTCTCTCTCTCTCTCAAAACAAATAAGCTTTAAAAAATAAATAAATAAAATGCTTTGGAGAAAAAGGAAAATAAGAAACTCACAGCCAAGAGAAGCCTAGTAAGACATCATAATTAACTTCAATATTGTATCTTGCATACGATCCTGGGACAGAAAAAAAGGACATGGGCAAAAACTAAGAAAATTTGAACAAATATGGATGTTGGTTAATAATAACAAACAAAAAACAGTTTAGAAGCAAACGCTATGGGTTTAGGGTCCAGCTTTGCCTCTTACTAGCTGTGATATTGGGCAAGTTTCCCAAAAGATACCTCTTTCTTTTCTTGTAAAATGAGGATAGTCAAAGCATTTGCATTGTTCTCCTAATGGTAAAATGAAAAAAAGAAATACATATAAATTTCTTACCACAGTAAACACGCAAGGCAATTAGCTACTAAAATGACAAATCTCCATACATACACATTTAGAAGATGGTAAAATAAATGTCAGGATTTTTTAGTAATGTGGCTTAGGTTAAACCTAAACCTTGGCTTAGGTTAAAGAGGAAAAACAATATCATAACTTCTGGGGAAATTTTTGGGCACAAATATTAGAGAATATAGCAGGAAGAAAGGGCAAGGGGCTCAGTAGTTATCATAGGTGGCCCTGGGTAATTATGGATACAGTGTTAAGACACCTGGGTGGCTCAGTTGGTTAAGTGTCCAACTTCAGCTCAGGTCATGATCTCGCAGTTCATGAGTTTGAGCCCTGTGTCAGGTTCTGTGCCAATAGCTAAGAGCTTGGAGCCTGTTTTGGATTCTGTGTCTCCTTCTCTCTCTGCCCCTCTCCTGCTTGTGTGCATGCTCTCTCTCTTTCTCAAAACCAAATATTAACTTTTTAAAATTATCAGTGCAGAGTCTTTGCTCCAGACAATTTAAATTAAAATCTCTGTGAAAGGAGCTACCGTAAGTTATTTTGTTTTGGGTTATCATTTATTTTGGGTCCCTTCTAGCTATTTTGTATTTGCTTTACTCTGAGTTTTCTGCTTAGACAGTAAAGGTCTCAGGTAAATCACCCTTGGCTCCTTCCTCCATGACTCCCCCACTCCATCTCCAGGTGGGGGGACCTCTGAGGTGAGACAGTCTTGTAGGTGATGTCTGCTGGTCCAGTATTTTAAAATACTTTCTCAGTGGCTCTCTTCTTTGTCAAAGGTTGGAATGGTTTCCTCCCAAAGAAATCTCTGTTTGAGAGAACGCAAGTTACCTGAACATTATCTACCTAGTGCTCATGATAGAAAATGAAAAGTTATCATCTGGAAATTACAATTCCCACCAAGTGCCACAAGCCAGGCTCCTGGAAATTGCTCCATAGAGTTCCATTTGTTTTCCAGCTCCCAGAACAGCAATCGTTGTAGCTGTATTTCTTTCCTCCTTCCTTTAGGTGTAAAATAAAACTTTAGAGATTAAAAAAACTTTAAAAATTATAATAGCCTGTACTACTATGCTTATTATAGAGAGTTTTAAAGTAGAATTACAAGTAGCAAAATGAAAACTGCCCATGAGCCTCCCTCTTCCCCATTCCAGGGATAAACATCATTCACATAATTAATGAATATCTTTCTAAATTTTCCTATGTGTAGAAACGTGTGTTTTACTTTACAGAATTACGTCATACTATATGCACACTTTTGTAACTTGTCCTTATGTTCTGAGCATTGTGTGTGTGTATGTGTCTGAGAGAGAGGGAGAGAGATAAGGCTTCAAAATCAAGATTTCTGTGTATGCAGCAAAGCCCATAATATAGACTTACCATAATTATTTAACAACTGCCCTACATTAGACCTTGATTATTACTTCTGACATTTGCCTTATTTTTCCTTTTTCCATTATTTATCAGAGAACAAGATCAGTCACCAAACTGGTGAGTTCATACAAATTAGTCTTCCTGACTGATTTTGACACTATATCTAAAATTAAAAAAAAAAAATTAATGTTTATTTTTAAGAGAGAGAGAGAGAGAGAGAAAACAAGCAAGGGAGGGGCAGAGAGAGAGGGAGACACAGAATCCAAAGCAGACTCCAGGCTCTGAGCTGTCAGCACAGAGCCCGACACAGGGCTTGAACCCATGAACCGCGAAATCATGACCTGAGCTGAAGTAGGATACTTAACTAAGCCACCCAGGCACCCCTGCTCTGATAATTTTTTAAAGATCCCCTAGGAATAATATTAGAACCACTGACTACCCCTTTGTCTACTATATATTTTGGTCATATTATGCTTTGGATATGGCTTCTCTGAAGGACAATATGAAAAAGGAAAAAAACTTCTTAGAATTTATATTTATAAGTCACTCTGGTAAGTTTCAACTGGTGGCTGAGACTAAGGTCTGCGTGCATTGTTCTTCTTTTTTATCCCTGCTGATTTCATTTTTTCCTGCAGTCATTTCCTGCTTTTCTCATTAGCATAGCTAATTGATGGTTAGTTGTACAAGATACATCAGTGGTCTATAATTTGAAGCATTGCTAATTAACTCTGATGCATGCATTCAACTCAGAGTTAAAATCTCTGCATCTTTTTACAAACTCAAAATGAAATTTCTAGCTGGAAATATAAACAGTTCTTTCTTTAGCATTATCATCCGAAATTTATTGAACACTCAAACATGGCAGACCCCTCACAGACTGTATAGCAAACCTTAGGATTTAAAGAGATTGCTTTGGTTCAGTGGCACACCAGCGCCAAAGGGCAAAGGAAAGAAACAGTCACAAGGGCTATTGTAATGGTGGTAGAAGTGTTAAAAACCTGGATTGTGGCAGTCTCTTACAACCACATACATGTAATAAATGTCATCAAACTGTACACTTGAGGTAGGTGAATTTTAGTACAGCTGTTTAAGAAGTCATTCAAGAAGTGGATTTGGCTCAAATCTATAAATATTTGTTGACTGCCCATCAAATGCCAGGCACTGAGCAAGACTTCCAAGGGTAGCCTGGGATAGTGGCTGGCAGCAGGCAGTCGGCATTAACCTGAAGCAGGCGACATGAAGTTTGGGACCCAGGAAGTAGGAGCTTGAGGAGGAGTACCTGAGAGAAATACGCATGGAATTTTCTGCAAAAACATGAATTCTTGCAATTTAATAGCATATATAGTCAGTGATATTTTTTTGCTTATAAATGGCATGAGTACAAGTGAACTTTAATATAATAAAGTATAAAATCCCAGTTAATTTTTAAAATGATAAACCTTTCTGTGATGACACAGTGATCATTGAAACTTACTTGTCCCTCTGGGATCCTTTAGAACTCATTTTCAGCTTGGGCTGCTTGCAGCCAGCTGTTTCTCTTGTCACTATTGTATACATGCCCTCTGTTCTATCTAAGGCGCCTTCGAGGGTGACGCTGCTTGTGCTCCCCGATTTCTGCCTCGACGCTCACCTCCATGTGAACCGTGACTTCTCCACGATGCTCTGTTTCTAGATAACTAACGACTCCCAAATGTAGAGAACAGTGGCCATTTATTTGCCTACAGTTGTGCCGTTTGGCCTTGGGCTTGGCAAAGGAGGTTTATTGCTGCTTCTGTTGACATTGTGTGGAACGGTCCAAAGAA